TAAATGCAAGAATATTCTGTGTTTATATCACATCTTGTATTGATAGTAAGTGAGTGAAAGAAAGATAGGAAAAGTGAGTGAGTGATAGGCAGGGAGGGAGAAGAGAGAGAGAGAGAGAGAGAGAGAGAGAGGCTGGGATAGACGTATAAATATAGTGACAATCATTGTATCTAAGAATAACAAAAATTTGTTAACTCACTCTTCAATTCAATCTACAATTTGAAAGAGTTTCAAATTTTACAAAATTTTATGAAAATAACAAAATTTTGAATCAATTCCTAAACTAACATAAAATATTACAGAATATAAAATAATTTCACATTAAGATTATATCGATAAATGTAAATTTACTACTATTTAGTGCCCATAAAATGTCATGGTTTTCGTTTGCCTACCGCTATATTCTGTGTTATTTTCTAATGAGTTTTCTATGAAAATGAATGTCAGTAAAAATAGTGATATTTTTGTTAACAATTTTAATGCAGTATTTCTTAGCAGAGAAAATAATAAAAAATTTTATTTCATCCCATTTTTATGTCAGGTTTTATGTAAATATTGCTTAATATATGACTTCATTTATATAATAAAATATTTGAACATTAATTCCCCGGCTCTCAGCCATCAATTGACTGCGGCTTTAGATTTCAATAACATATCAGTATTTACTATAAAACCAGTATTTTATTAAACACTTTATATACACAGTATTGGAGAATAAATTGTTGTGAAATACAACAGATTATAAGAGAGAATTAACACCAACTTTTTTATTATCTAGTTAACTCTCTCTCTCTCTCTCTCTCTCTCTCTCTCCATACCTACCTATCACTCACTTTTCCTATCTTTCTTTCGCTCACTTACTATCAATACAAGATGTGATATAAACACAGAATATTCTTGCATTTGGTTTGACATTCAAAACAGCGAGACATGAATATTAAATAAACAGTTTTTATAAATTTTTTGATGGATTTTTCACCAAACGTTTAAAAAGAACATTTTTGTGACACTGTTTTACATTAAAAGATACTGTTTAAGAATTTACCATAATTTGTATAATAACATAATATTTATTGTTTTAGATGTTATTAGTACACAAAGTTTTTCGACACCCCTTTTTGCCATATATTTGCATCTATTAGTGATTCAGTTTAGATGTCTCTCTGTTTTCAGTGGCTTTTTTCAATACATTTTGTTTCAAACATTAGTTGTATTTATTTATTTTAAAAACTCCTGAATATTAGAGTCAATATATAATGATATTATAAATGTCTCACAGAATTATGTAAATATTGTTTTTAAATCGCTTTATGTTATGAATTAAAATTTGTAAATTATTTATGCGTTTATCGTTTTCATGTCTTTTACGCCAAACATATTCAACACAAAAATAGATATTTAAATACAAAATACATTTATTTGTCACTTTTGGCGCAAAAAAATACATTGTATGAAATAGGAAATAAAGTTTTATCATATTTGTTATTGTAATTGATTTATATTAATTGAAATAATGTTTTACATCAAGAAATACAACATTTAATTCATGAATGTTACAATCATTGATACCCTAAAGAATATATTACTAACAATTCTTATACTTTGTAACCGTTAGGACTAGTAAGTGAATTAAGCGAAATATTGTATGTTTTGCAATATTGCTATATTTTGCACCTTGCACAAATAAACCCTAATTCCTGATTTATCAACTAAAATTAATATTGTTCAATTCCTTATTAACCAACCTAATACTATCCAATATTGTGTAGATATAAATAATAAACAAGCTAGCTTAGAATAGTATACAATACTAGTTCCTTATATCAGATTTAAGTTCATAATCATTACGTACAGTGCACAGAAATTATTTAAATTGTACTAAATGACCAATATAAATTTTCCCGCTAATTTCATACCATGCACATTATCTATATAACTTCATGCATCATATTCTACATTGGTCATTTTGCAGCAAAAAACAAGTTTCATAACTTATGATGAATAAAAAATATATTCTCATACATAGAAAACGGCAACAAATATAAAACCACAAATTTTTTACATTCATAAAAATCCGAGTCGTTATTACACTCAACTACATGGATATAAAGCATATAAAAACCCAAAACTTACGATAAAAACTAACCGCTAATTAATAACAAATAAAAAATTAATAAAATATACAAAAATAAATCAAAAACTACAAAAATAACACCAAAATAAAACACCACAAAAAAAGTTTCTCAACAAAAAAAACTACATTCACTGCAGTTTCAAACATATAGATAGCGTTAAACGTATTGCGAGTTTCAATACATTTTCGCACAAAACTTGGAGAGAAAGAGAGAGCAGTGGAGAAGTGATGAACACTTTTTGCCAAATACTGTGAGTCTATGAGTGAATGCATTGCAAACACATCTGAGTTTGGGTTTTGTGTTATGTTTTCCAATGCATTGACTAAACGTCACATTCAATGCAAACCCAAACACAAAACACAACAACTCATACATTGAGTGAAACAACAAAACCATTCACTTTACACGACATGTGCGGACACATCGACGGCCGCAATGACTGACTGACCGACGAGTGGAGATAATGCCGAAGAGGAGACGTCTGGAACCGTTGCCATCGCACAACTGGTCCACGTTTTGGTGAGTGTTTTCCAAGAGTTTAGACACAAAACATTTTGGCTATTATTTTGACGCCATTTTACTCACCAAAAATTTTTTCTCTTCACTTTACCATCAAATGCATTGAATCCACGATTTAATCATCCGTTCCGTCCATCGCGTGCCTTACCATCGATGACAGCGGCGAAAGTGATGGCGATTTCGGCGATAATCACCGCAAAGACGGCGCCGCTGACGAGGAGGAGGAGCCGTGCGATCCGTTGGGCGCGCAGACAGTGCTCGACGACGACAGGCATCGCGANGTTTGACATTCAAAACAGCGAGACATGAATATTAAATAAACAGTTTTTATAAATTTTTTGATGGATTTTTCACCAAACGTTTAAAAAGAACATTTTTGTGACACTGTTTTACATTAAAAGATACTGTTTAAGAATTTACCATAATTTGTATAATAACATAATATTTATTGTTTTAGATGTTATTAGTACACAAAGTTTTTCGACACCCCTTTTTGCCATATATTTGCATCTATTAGTGATTCAGTTTAGATGTCTCTCTGTTTTCAGTGGCTTTTTTCAATACATTTTGTTTCAAACATTAGTTGTATTTATTTATTTTAAAAACTCCTGAATATTAGAGTCAATATATAATGATATTATAAATGTCTCACAGAATTATGTAAATATTGTTTTTAAATCGCTTTATGTTATGAATTAAAATTTGTAAATTATTTATGCGTTTATCGTTTTCATGTCTTTTACGCCAAACATATTCAACACAAAAATAGATATTTAAATACAAAATACATTTATTTGTCACTTTTGGCGCAAAAAAATACATTGTATGAAATAGGAAATAAAGTTTTATCATATTTGTTATTGTAATTGATTTATATTAATTGAAATAATGTTTTACATCAAGAAATACAACATTTAATTCATGAATGTTACAATCATTGATACCCTAAAGAATATATTACTAACAATTCTTATACTTTGTAACCGTTAGGACTAGTAAGTGAATTAAGCGAAATATTGTATGTTTTGCAATATTGCTATATTTTGCACCTTGCACAAATAAACCCTAATTCCTGATTTATCAACTAAAATTAATATTGTTCAATTCCTTATTAACCAACCTAATACTATCCAATATTGTGTAGATATAAATAATAAACAAGCTAGCTTAGAATAGTATACAATACTAGTTCCTTATATCAGATTTAAGTTCATAATCATTACGTACAGTGCACAGAAATTATTTAAATTGTACTAAATGACCAATATAAATTTTCCCGCTAATTTCATACCATGCACATTATCTATATAACTTCATGCATCATATTCTACATTGGTCATTTTGCAGCAAAAAACAAGTTTCATAACTTATGATGAATAAAAAATATATTCTCATACATAGAAAACGGCAACAAATATAAAACCACAAATTTTTTACATTCATAAAAATCCGAGTCGTTATTACACTCAACTACATGGATATAAAGCATATAAAAACCCAAAACTTACGATAAAAACTAACCGCTAATTAATAACAAATAAAAAATTAATAAAATATACAAAAATAAATCAAAAACTACAAAAATAACACCAAAATAAAACACCACAAAAAAAGTTTCTCAACAAAAAAAACTACATTCACTGCAGTTTCAAACATATAGATAGCGTTAAACGTATTGCGAGTTTCAATACATTTTCGCACAAAACTTGGAGAGAAAGAGAGAGCAGTGGAGAAGTGATGAACACTTTTTGCCAAATACTGTGAGTCTATGAGTGAATGCATTGCAAACACATCTGAGTTTGGGTTTTGTGTTATGTTTTCCAATGCATTGACTAAACGTCACATTCAATGCAAACCCAAACACAAAACACAACAACTCATACATTGAGTGAAACAACAAAACCATTCACTTTACACGACATGTGCGGACACATCGACGGCCGCAATGACTGACTGACCACAGAGTGGAGATAATGCCGAAGAGGAGACGTCTGGAACCGTTGCCATCGCACAACTGGTCCACGTTTTGGTGAGTGTTTTCCAAGAGTTTTCGTACAAAACATTTTTGGCTATTATTTTGACGCCATTTTACTCAACAAAAATTTTTTCTCTTCACTTTACCATCAAATGCATTGAATCCACGATTTAATCATCCGTTACGACCATCGCGTGCCTTACCATCGATGACAGCGGCGAAAGTGATGGCGATTTCGGCGATAATCACCGCAAAGACGGCGCCGCCGACGAGGAGGAGGAGCCGTGCGATCCGTTGGGCGCGCAGACAGTGCTCGACGACGACAGGCATCGCGACGATAGCCGCTGTCCCGCAGATAACAGCCATACCATCGACGGCGAGCACCCGTCGGCCGCTGTGGCGGAACCGCCGGTCGCACAGCAGGCGAACGGCCAGTCGTTGTCACCCAATCTGGACGAAAGTGTGTTGATATTGAGGCGAAAGTCTAATCGCATATCGAAACCAATACAACGATCGCTGGAGAGCGCGTCCGCCGCCACCACTTCGCCCACCATTTCTGTCCACAAGAAAATTGGTCTCATTTTCTGTCCGTTGCGGTCGATGTTCACTGTTTTTAACGATTGTTTTCTTACCGATAGTTAAACACAATTTGTTGCAAAACAATGCCATCGCTTGCGAGTCGGATAAGAGCGCTGTCAACAGATCAGCCAAAGCCGATGAATCCGCTCCGAAGAGTTCCTCCAAAGGCGGCAAATCGTTGCGAAAGCTTCAGATGTGGACCAATGAGGACACGAAGTGTTTCTTTGAGGCCATTTGCGAAGTAATTCACTATTTTTTATGTTATGTTTTGATGACATCAACGGATAACTCATTAACTCTTTATTTGTTTGACACGTAAAGCACGGGAAAGACTTTCCGCGCATTCAATCATATATGGCTCAGAGGTGTGAGAAGAAGGGCATACCTCAGGATCAGATCAAGAACTACGAACAGGTCCGCCATTATTACTACCGAATGTGGCATAAGATCGCCAACTCTATGGCGCCCAACGAAGGTCTGCATCTGATTGCCAATCACTGGTTTATCCCATATTATAAGACAATGGCATTTATGGATCTAATTATGATTTTCATTGCTTTCCGCGACAGTTGTGGACAAAAATATTCAAGAGATTTACGGACTCATCAATTATGGCGAGATATGGAAAAAATTTGGCACAAAATTTGATAATAAATTAAGCATTTCTTTACAACAATTGGTTAATTTTGGGTACATTTTCGTAGACTTTGTTATTAAGACTTATTTTGTTAAACATTTTGTTTCTAATCATTGGTTTTGATTGTTTTATATTGAATCTCAAGTCACACGACATTCAAAGTAAAAAAGGGAAGAATTCGCGTAAAGACTCCCATTTGTAACGCATTGAAGAAAATTCACAAAATCAAAGGTTTTAAACAAATTTAATGACTAAAATATGTGCAATAATTAACGCATTGTTTCGCGCCATCGGTTTAGTCGCCGAAAACATTGACCAGAATCTACTGAATCTGCCGAAAGAGGTGTGCATTGAATTACATCCGGCGAACAACGAGTCGTGGCTTCGCGTGCACTCACTGTCGCAGAATCCAAGAGTGCGGACCAAACTGTCGCTACAGAAACGGCTGTCAGCGCTCGTCGAGTATCTGGAGAGGCGTTGGAATCAGTCGCGGCTCAAGGCGTCCGAGTGTCAGACACTGTGCGGCACATCACTGCCCAACAGCTCCTGCGATGTGTGCCTACGAGTGCGGCCCCAATCCAGCGGTCATTTGAATAACGTATCGCTGAGTAAATCGTATTTCAATTCATCGCAAATGGATTTAAGTCTCACGGCTTATGTGAAGACACTATACAATCAGGAGCTGAAGGGAAAGTCCAAGAAATCAAAGACCAATAAAGCGAAAGAAGCGAAGGACACGAACGCCGACCCGAACGGCGATCTGAATATGAAGTCGCCGACCAGTGGTGAGCCGACGGTCGAGAGTTCGGACGATAAGCCGACCGAAACGGACAACAAACCGGTCGGCAAAGAGTGTAAAACTGATTCGGCGTTAAACAAGTCGTCGGAAGGCGAGGGAAAGTCCGATGAGGACGAGCCGATTGGCGCCGCCGAGCGGTCGCTGGCTTTGCTTCAGATGTTGGAGAAGATGAACAGAATGTGCGAAGAGATTCACGGGACGGACGAAGAGGACGAGAAGGAGGACGACGACCAGAACAAGGAGGAAGAGGACCGGGACCTGCCGTCGCCCGACACCAATGCGAACGTGTGTCTACCGGAACCGCCGGCCAACGCGACGCTCGCCCAGTGGTTGGGCACCGGAGACGGCGAACCCGAGGACAACGATAACGAAGTGGAGGGCATCGAGAAGAAGACGCCGACCGCCGCCGCCGTCAAAGAGAATCCGGTGTCGATGTTGAGCGCCGATAGGGCTCGTATGGGGTGGTCTCTGAGCGAAACCGGTTCCATGACTATCGGCGAGTTGTATTTGCTGTTCCGTTGCCCGAAGACTATTCTTCTGGAGTACGTTTGGGAACCAATTGTACCTAAAGTGGAGTCGAGTCCGAACGCCGACAACGAAGAGTCTGTCGTCACGTCCAGCGATGACACGAACGCCAATAAAGAGGACAACAATCATAATGTTTTGGTTGCGGACAACAAAGCGATGAATTCAGAGTTTTTGCGGCGACTCTTATTAGCGGCAAACGTGTCGCTGTTGTCGATGAAAAGGCCGGCCAACGCTTCCAGCGCTCAGAATCCGAAGAAGAAACGGATAAAACCGACGCAAGTGTTCGTGCCTTCGGTTTCGCCGCCAAATATGTCGAAACCGATCGACAATTCGTCGCAAATGCTATCAAATGTGATAAAAAACACTATTTTTAACGACAGTAACAGTAATGAGGGAAATGTCGCCAAAACAACGCCAAACCCGTCGACAGACGGACTGTCGGACGGAACGGCGGGCGGCGACCCGTCGACGGCGTCGGCGCACGACTTCATAGTGCCGACCACTCCGGCGCCCAAAGCCGTGAACAAAGCCAAAACACGTAACGTTTGCGGCGCTTCCATACAGGAGGCTCTTCGGCAGTTGCAGTCCAACAAATACACGCGCCGTCAGCGGCGGCCGACACCCAAACCCGTGTTCGGCCAGAATAAGCCGCTTCTGCCGCGCGGTTCGCCCCAAACGGTGACCGTCGTGTCGACCACAACGGGTGCCACAGGTGTCGGCCAACAGCAGCCCATTTATGTGATACCGTCGCAGGCGTTGCACGCGTTGACCGTCAACTCGCAGTCGGCGGCCGCCGGCGGAGGCGTCGCCACCGCCACACTCCCGATGATAGACGTGACGGCATTAAATGCCAGTCAATTGCGGCAGACATTCAACAGCCATACGAATAGTGAAAACACATTTAATGTGATTTTGCCTCAAAAGGCACAACAGATGACTACCACTAGTGATGTAAATAATAAGTCGACAGTCAATCGGCTGATCGACGGAATCAACTCCGCGGACATACCGTTGATCCAAATGGAACCGATCTCTTCAGTCTCAGTGCCCATCATTAGCTCAACCATTCACACGACCACCGCTGAGCCCACTCTACTGCGACAAACTCTCCTTAACTCGTACTCTATGGCCGGCACCGGAACCCCTCCCATGATTGGCCAGAAAGTGGTGTCGATGTTTGACACGACAATCGCTGACCACCAGAAGGCTGCCGACGAACCCAGTGATGATAGGGATGTAATCAAAGACAAATCTGTCGATCAATCGCTTACCATAAGCGTAGGTATCGGCTCAGTGTTGACCGATAGTGACGCCAATCATCCGGCCATCACTTCCAGCGATGAATCTTCAGACAAACTGCCGTTAATGTCGTCGAACGCGACGATCAGTTCTCTGTTAGAAATCTCATTACCGGAGCCGCCATTCAATGATAACTCGTGTTCTAGTCTTACGGACGGCTTTGCCATCGATAAGCGGCCGTTCGAGAGGCTAACGCTTCCCGATATGACCACTTCCACGACGGGCGCCATCAACAACAACCACAGACACCACCCGATGGCCGACCACAGGGCCGACAACGAACACAACCGCAACACCACTGACCCAACTCTGCTCACATCGGTGTCGTCGTCGTCATCGCTGGCCAGCCCTCCCATCGATCGCCACAAACTGAGTTCGTCGCCGGTCTCGGACTCATCTCATTGGCTGAACGGCGAGTCCTGTGATCTATCGATCGGCACATTACTCAACGCATGCGAATCTCCCGTCAAAAACGTCAGAGACAGCCATTCGCTGGCCAGTGATGTAAGCGTTTGTTTGCTTTTAATTGCAGTGTTTTAATGGTTTTATTAATTGATTTCTAATAATTGTTTTCTCTGTTTGTAATACAGGTTTCAATCTCTCAGATGAGTTGTTTAGTGACAGACAATAGCGTGGATTTGATGGCAAAGTTCGCAGACTTGGCCGCACAGATAGTCGACACTAACTCTAAGTCTACTTAAATTATATGATATTTATATAATAAATATATATCTAATATATATTAAACGATTTTCTCTCGCGTTTCGCCACAAGAATTGCGGTCTAATTATGTATACGTTTTGTTGAGAATTTTCAATAAAATACAGCCATTTTTGGGCCCAAATTGTGGCCAAAACTCTCTCCCCTCCTCTTTCGGGCAGCTTTTCATTGGAATTGAAACACCTTTTACTGTATATAAGATTTTTTGTCCCATTTTTTGTAATCCGAGATTTATTTGTAATCATATTATTGTAAATAATTTGTAATTATTATAATTGATTGCAAAACACAAACAACAGTTTCGCTCCAAATTTTCTTTCTCCGAGTCTTATGTTATTTATTGTGTAATTCTTATGACAAATATTAATTAAAACCCAAAACAAATCATTTGTTAATTAACTGACAGATAAAACAAAATACTTATCCACTTAACGAATAGCCGCTAATTATGTATTATTTGCGATAAAATGGACATATTTTTAGCTATAAAAAAGTTATACTTATTTTTTAGACCATTATTTCCGATTATATTCTGTATATTAATTAATGGGAAACTAATTGTAAACATTGTTTTTTTGCTATTAATTCTCTTTTTTGTGTTATATTTAAATAGAAAACAAAATAATTGGATTTTATTGACGATTAAAAATTTAAAAATACTAATAAAATACAAGTTATTTAAGAAAAATGTTTTAATTTTTATGGTATTGTATATGATTTGTAGTGATTGTGTCGACGAGTGTTGAAAATTGTCTATTTTAATGAACAAAACATTAATATTACGGTATATTTAATCAAATCGCTTCACACCCTGTCCTACATATGGCGCGTGTAATGTGTGGCTAATGTATGGCTCCTATTGTTTAATGATCGCATCCATCGGTCCATTCAATACATACACTGCCATACAATTAGTGTTGCGATAATTGTATGAAAACCTATTTCATTAAAAACCCTTTTTATAGATTCTTAACATATGTCTAGACTCTTCTTCATCTCTATTCTTTGCCAGACTCTCTCTCTCTCTCTCTCTCTCTCTCTCTCTCCACGTCTAACACAATAACTCAATTCATTCAAAAGCGCTTTTTATGATCTTTTTCTGGCAATTCATTAAATATGATTAAAAATACCGATAAATAAGTTTACGATTCTTTCGAAATACAAAAGGAATTATATTTTGAAAAAGTTATTTCAATTCATTATTTAATACTGAAATGAATGCATATATAATGACAAACTTTTACATTATTTTCGTTGCGTTTATTGAGGTCTCTAATGATATGCATTATTTATATTAGCTTTGAATAAATGCTGAATATTTTTACAGAATTATCACTAATACTGGCACTAAAAATGTAATAATGTTTATAAATATAACACAATATATGTAAAAGATTAACATTACATTTCAGAAACAATTATGTTTTGAATACATTAATAATTGTAATTTAAGGCTCTCTCTCTCTCTCTCTCTCTCTCTCTCTCTCTCCACAAACTCTTTGCCAATGATATGATAATTAAGTCAAATTCAATGTATTGTTAATCCAAAAGTGAAAAATAATAAAAATTAAAAACAAAAGAATAATTTTGTTGAAAAGAGTTGTTTTAGTGTTTAATAGAGAGACCGATATTGCAGTCATTAATAGGATTTTGAATACAATATTAATGTATTCATGAATTCATTTGCAAAACACTTCATACGAGAGGAAACTAAATATTTTTCGTCGAAATGTATTCACAAAATAACACAAACTTTTCGCTAACGTAATAATTTAATGCAATTTTATTTCATTTATATTTGTGTTGTAAAAATCCTTTTAACAATACTATAGTTACTATAGTTTTAATGCGAAAGCCTTTTAATCCCTAAAAACAGACATTATTTCTCTTTCAACTAAATATTTTCGTTTCTATTTGTATCACAAAACCAAATGTTCATTAAAATAATGCATTTGTAATAAAAATGCTTTAATAAAAGTGTGTTTTAATGACCAGTTAGTGAATGATAATTGTCTGTCACCAAAGACATGGACACATCACTGGATATGATATGCTTTTCACAATTATATTACAATTGTATGCAAAATAAATTCATAATTTATATTTCAAAATATATTTAGAAATTTGAAAAAAAATATTTTGATTTTCATTTGTTGGAAGAATTGAATTCACAAATAAATATAGATTTTATAAAATTTAAAATAAATTACATAACCTTATCATTCATTGAATTTAAATGTAATGGAGAGAGAGAGAGAGAGAGAGAGAGAGA